AAGCCACCGACTGTGGCTCCACCTCAGGAACAGAGGGAACCACCGATTGTGGCTCCACATCCGGAGTCTCTGGAAGACGCAGAGCAGGCTCAGGGGTCTCCAGACGGCACAGAGCGGGCTCAGGGGTCTCCAGACGGCACAGAGCGGGCTCTCCAGGAGCGCGTAGAAGGAGTCTGCTGGGCTAGTCTGTTGGTTGGATCGTTCTGTCATGATGCAATGGTTTTACTAGCCCAAATGCAGACTCACAGACACAGAGGGAGGATTAAAAGTCCAATATTTATTGGAACACACGGAAACTGCAGGTTTCAAGTTCAGAAAGGCATGGTGGCACAGGAAACACAACGATCCAGCACAGAGGGGAGTTCACACTCAGCTTATATAGGGAAAGCTTCCTTAATCAGCAGATAGAAAACAGCTGTCCATGCTGAGCCCAAACTCCCCAGGCATGGATCCACGGCGCCCTCTGGTTGGCAAAGCCCCGGATCCTAACACAGAGAACATAAATTTAGTTAAGTTTGTGTGGTGAATTGTTCTCATTTGAAATATGGGAAGCATACATATATATGTAATCTAATGTAAGCATATTGTAAGATACAATAATAGAACTCACTACAGCAGGATAGATCCATTTTGATTTGTTAAGATGTAAAACGGAAATGTTCTTGGTTGGAACAGATACTACTAAAAAGCTTTCATACATACTACTAGAAGCTTTTATACATACTAATAGAAAGCTTTTTAATACTTTATACGAAAGCTTTTCAGTAGTATGTATGAAATCTTTTTACTAGTGTATATGAAAGATTTTTAGTAGTGTATATGAAAGCTTTTTAATAGTATGTATGAAAAGTAAAGCTTTCCATCAGTTAATATGAACAGTTCTCACTACGTTGTACTAGAGCTTTTGAGTAGGTTATATAAGAGATAAATGTTTTCACTAGTTTATGTGATAGCTTTTCACTAGTGTTTATGCAGGTTTTTCAGTATATTATTATTTAATGTGTGTATATGCAAGTTAATTCTTATTTATGTACCTGGGGTTACCTCATACAAACATACCTTCTGGCCCTGCCCAGTTCTACAGCTTTCCCCGACTTCGCCCAGAGGCTGTGATATACATGCCTTCTTTCTCTGCATGCAAAAACATGGAAATTTCTCCAAGTATTCAATTTACATTTTACCCTGGATATCACTTTCAGCACAAAGTCAAATTATGGAAGGAGAAGATGCAAAATGTGTTTCTCTGATAAAAGCAGTGTGACCCACTAAATCAGCAAGTTATTACACTCAGTGGCGGCTGGTGGAGTTTCTTCAGGGGGGGATGATAAATTTCATATAGACGTATACCAAAAAACAATCAAACGTATACCAGGTTATCACACCAGTATATTTATATGAATGCCAATAACAAAAAACTTTATAAAAACACTTAACACAAAACATAATTTCATGTCCAGGTTAAAGTTTTTTACATAAATCTTGCCCTTCTGAGGCTTTGTGAAGATAAATCACCTAATAAAGAATGCACCAGTTTAATAACGGAGAAGCTATTAGCCAGCTTTATATTTTTTTTAATATATAAAAACTATTTTCTCAGAATGTGTTTATTTAAGAGCAACTTTGCAAATGAACAAAAACCTAGAAAAAGTACACTATATTATATTATGTTCCATGTGAATCCCAGATTGTTCATCCTTCTTTGCCTTTTCTAAAAAGCGCTTTAAATCGGTCCTTCCTGTCTTTATCCATGCTGGGACGTTTGAAAAATGAGCCAGGGAAGCAGAATTAAGCATTAGCTTCTCTCAATGCAGTTAGCCAAGCCCTGTAGCTAAACTGGGTCCTGGAAAAAGACAGAGTGAACCGTCTCAACCTGTCTTTTGGACTGCTGATTAATTTTGATATTTGGCTGATCAAGTCCAAACAGTTTCACCTCACGTGACTCAGCATGTAAATCACCCGCTCTGCAAGTGTGATGACAGTTCCTGTCACCTCAGGGCATCGCTCTGTTGCGCACTGAGCTCTCCTATACCTCTGTATTGCAGAGGAGCTGCTGCACATGTACAACTTTTAACAAGAGTCAATGGGCAAAGATTTTTACTCCCTGCAGGCTGGAAATATGTCCCCAATCCGACAAAAAATTAAATGACGCTTTATTCATCATTAAAGACTAAATATTTATCTTGCACATCTAAATATATATATATATCAATATATTTCTAAATATTTTGATTTAATTAGATTTTTCTTTTTTCTTTTTTTGTCTTAATCAAGGTCATTGGGACGGTGTCTTAGCGCCCTCTATTGGCCAGCTGCCGCTGCTCAGTCTATTAGTAATTTGGACACCCCAAAGGCAGTTTTCTAGTATGGAGGACCAATCCTGCCATAAATAAAAATAAATACAGAAAAAATAAATAAATACTTTCAACCGTCTGCCTTACAGTTCTTCCGCTTAGGCAGGCACGGGGCTGCCTTCCTTACCCGGCAGGCGGGGGAAGCAGGTGGCCGCCTGCCTGCTAAGGCAGGCGATTGGAAGCATACGGTCAACGGGTTGGGTTTGTTCGCTCCATCCCTGGCTGGCTCCAAACCCGGACCAGCCCCGGAGCTTATGGCTCGTTTCGAATGCCCGGTCCGGTCCAGTCAGCAGCCGAGCAGCCCCCCCCCCCCCCCCCCTTATAAAAAAGGGTCTTCCTTTTCAAAAATCCAAGCATTAGCATTGTTTTTAAAAACAGTTGCTAAATGCCTCAACTCACTGACAGCTTTATTGTAGGAAGGTTGCTGCTAGGAGGTTGGCTGCTAACCAACCAATGGGGAGAGGTTGAGCCCTTAAGACACACCCCTCCTCATTTGCATAATGAAGCAGAAACGCATACAGAAATGTAAATACCACAGACAGAAATAAATAGCATGGAAGAAATAAATAGGGTAAAAAAATACAAAGGAAGAATAAACCAGACAAAAATATTATAACCTGCACATAAGTAATAAATAAATAATGTTGAAGAATGTAACGGATAATAAATAAATAAGGTAATTATTACAAAGGCAAAATAAAAAAAGAAGATAATTAATTAATTATTTCTCACTGTATAATTCAATTTCTACCTACATTTATTTGTTTATTATATTTTTGGGGGGCAACTAATTCTATGCTTATTTATTTTTGGAGCATTTATTTATTTTTAATTATGGTAGGATTGGTCCTCCATATTCTAACAGCAACGACCACTTTACAGTTAGTATATGAGGAGAGAATGCAGGGAGATAAAAGAAATGCTTTCACTGTCGGTTGAACATCTTTGATATGATTGTAAAGAAAAATAAATGCAGGGCCTATCGCCAGTCGAATTGGAGTCTCAATGTCTGTGGAGTGACTTCTGGCAGCCAGATGTTTCCAACAAGTCACAGCAGCACTGTCAATGTAGCTTCAGTTCAGAACAGAAAGTCTCTTAGCTGCTTCTAACCTCACCTTTCTGTACACCAGGAAGGTGATATGAGAGACACCTTTTTTGGTTGTCTGTTGTTGTTTTTTTTGTCCAATGAAACGAGAACCTCAGCTTTTTTTAAGGCTTAATATATCTTTATATTTTGGCTATAAAAAAGAGTAGAGGGAGAGAGAGGGTTTGGGGTTGATTTCCCAGCAGACATTTTGAGACAGATCATAAACATGATGACAAAAGCAAATATCAGAGGTCTGCTTATGGCACAACTATAAAAAATAGAATACACTACAAAATCCCTTTATTGTCCCACAATGGGGAAATTCTTTACTGCAGCAAAAAGATTATAGAAAAAATTGTCACACAAAGTGACCTTAGAAAATTTTTAAAGAATAACATACTAGTGGAGAGTTAAAAGATAAACAGTAAAATACTGTTCTGCAAAGTGTTTTAGTAATATAAAAAATTTACACCTGGAGAATAAATAACCAATATCCACCTATGGACATTTTTACTGTAAAGGATATTTGAAAATTGCAGAGATGTGCAAAATATCAGCAGCATGTTGTTTAACTGACTAAGGTATAAACTGTGCATAATCAGCATGAATGTTACAACTTATTGGGGTTGTTGGGACAGATTGATGCTCTTCAACATAGTCATAACTTTCTGGAGAAGCTGTGGAGATATAACCCCACCATGACAGAGCTCTGTTCTGCACACCCATATGGGAGGACCAACTCTGCCATATTTAGAAATAAATACAGAAATAAATAAATGCTCAATAAATAAATAAGCATACAATTAATTGCCCCGAAAAAATTAAATAAACAAATAAATGTAGGAAGAAATTAAATTACACAGTGAGACATAAATGTATATATCTCTTTTAATTAGCTTCTTTATTTGTTCACCTTTGTAATAATTATTTAATAATAATTATTTTATTTAATTATTTAATCTAATTTATTTATTTTTTGCCCCTTATAATCTTCAACTTTATTTATTACTTTTTTTTAAGTATTGTGCATAATAAAATATTTTTGTCGGTTTTATTCTCCCTTTATATTTTTTATCCTTTATATTTCTTCAATGCTATTTTTTTCTGCCTGTTGTTTTTACATTTATGTATGCATTTCTGCCTCATTATGTAAATAAGAGGGTATAAATAAATTAAGGTATTTATTACAAAGGCGAATAAATAAAGGTAATTCAAACAGATATATACATATATATCTCACTGTATAGTTTAATTTCTTCCGACATTTATTTGTTTATTTCATTTTTCGGGCAATTGATTTTATGCTTATTTATTTATTGAGCATTAATTTATTTCTGTATTTATTTTTTAAATATGGCAGAGTTGGTCCTCCATAGTGACGGCTTGTATCATGAATTTTGCTCGAATGTCTTTTTCTTTATTCTTTTAGTCCCCCTACAAAGTCCTGTGCTCCCGCCTCCCCGCTGTAATTTGATTGGACGTTTTGAGACCTCATCTGATTGGCTGTGGTTATCCGCTACGCCGGTTACGTCGCCGCGTGACTGAAGTAGCAGGTGACTTCTTCTCAGGAGCGATGCCAGTCAGATGTAACCGCTAACTGACTGTGCTCGGCAACGGATATGTCAGAGAGTGGTTTCGGTTTTCTTCTAAAAGTAAAGAAACGCGGAGATAGTAGATAAATGACACTGGAATAGCTGCAAGACACCCGGAGATGTTTCACCGAACAACAGCAGCAATGTGTAAGTTTGTTGTCGGGGAAAGTAGAGAAAGAAACGTCTGCTTTGATTTGGATAAAAATAAAATAAAAAAATTTGCATTTGAATGTATTGGATATTGTTTTCTTCTCCTAGTAAAAAGACATTTAAGTCGAACTCTCAGAGGAAGTTTATGTATATAATTTCTATATATGCCATATAATATAGGTATTATGATATAAGTAGAAAAGTTTGTGGTGTGCTTTCCAGTAGAATAGCAGGAACAGTTGCAAAATTATAGGTAGAAAAGATCATTTTTTTTATATTAAAAGAGGAATTAAAACCTGTCTCATGATCTGGGATGAAAGCAGTTATGAATTAAAAGTAATTTAACTGAATATCTTCTATCAAAAACTGCTAGGTGCCATTGTTTTCATTATAGTTATTATTATTTTAGCTTCACCTGGTTCAGATTCTGTAAATATATATAAATGAAAAACATTATCTATCCATTTAATTAATAGGTATTATATAGAAAAGAATATTCAAGAGATTAATTAACAAAAAATGTTACAGCTCTACGATTTAACCTAATTTATAACGAGACTGTCAGACATAAACTATGAATTAATTAAATTGATAAAGTGATAACAAGTCTTAATAATGGAGATGTGCACGGTTGTGGCAACTACAGGAGTAAAAAGTCGATGAGTTTTGCAAAAACGTAGTGAAAGAATATACACTGCTGGGAAAAATTAAAGGGACACTGAAAACACATCAGATCTCAATGGGGGGAAAAAATAATGTTTATTTATACTGATATGGACTGGGTTATTTGCTAGGAACAAAAGGATGCCACATCATGATCATGACCATCATGATGGAAATGAAAATTATCAACCTACAGAGGGCTGAATTCAAAGACACCACAAAAATTACAGTGAAAAAAGCTAGTCCGTTTCGTAGGGTCCAGTGACCCTAGCCAAATGCAAAACAGGTGAAAAATGGTCAGAAAAGATGAGGAGGGGGAAAAAATGTCAGAGGCCTCCACCTGTAAAACCATTCCTGTATTGACGGTCGTCTCGTTGTTGCCCCTCTAGAGCACCTTTTGTTAACTTGATTACCACCAAAGCAGCTGAAACTGATTAACAACCGCCTTTACTACTTACCTGACCAAATCACTATCCAAGAAGTTCAATTAACTCGATGCTATACTCTGATTACAAAGTGTTCCTTTTTTTTATTTTTTATTTTTTGAGTAGTGTATATATAAAACTCCTGCCGTACAGACAGAGAAACAGGAAGCCGCATTGTGTTTTTTAGACTTGAGAAAGAAATCGACTGTGCTGAAAGATGACCTGTGGTACTGTATGAGGAAGTATGGTGGAGTAACAGACAGGTGGAAGTGTTGCTCCCAGAGAAAAGGTGCGTCCATCAAAGCTCTGGGTTTAACTACTTATTTTAAGTTATGCAAAAAACGTAGTCTCCAATAATGTGACAGAGCAGGTTTTTGTGCAGTCATTTCATTTAGTGCTGCTATTAGCAAGAGTTAAACTCCGACTCTAAAGGGCACATTATAAAGAACCGATAAGAAAAAGGAGGGTTCTAGGCTAAACCATCGAAAGCTTTCACGACCCAAAACAATCTATTATGTTGTGATTAAAACATGCATCGACTTTACTGAGTGAAAAAATTGAGCATGTGCCGTCAAGGTCAAGCTGACACATTTCCATGCTGCCAACCAGCAGCATTTTCTCTACCTAACTGAAACTTGCAGCATAAAAGATCAACGCTCCTTTGTAAATCAGCCCCCACGACTGAAAGATGTTAGGAAAGTTGGGTTATTTGATGTTCTTAACTAATGTGATGAAAAAAGTGATGTATTTGATCCACAAATTCTTCACTGTTCTCTTTTCTTTCTCCCACAACGGTCATTTCCCTCACTAAGATTTCTGTAAATGGAAGAAAGCAGAGCAATGGGTCATTCTAAGTGTAACTCTGTCACCTACCAAACACTGTGTCCAAGCATTCTCTCGTCATTGTAATATTTCACATATTAAAATCTGCATTTAATTGTTATGTAATGCTGTGTTAATAAGTTTAGTTTAGTGCAGTTTAGACGAGCCTCATATCTGGATATTGTATAGCCCAGGTTCAGTCATGATATTTCTCTTTTTCTCCTCCTTTCATTCCAGATTTCATCTCCGTCTAGGAGGCCGTCTCTTCCCTCCTGGAATGAAAATGGCAAAACCCGTCAAAGGGAAGTTCCTTTTCCTCCTCCTCCTGATTGTATGTGCCATTCTTTCCTACTTATACAAGATTTCGCCCAACATTGATCAGAAGACTGTAGCTTCAGGGCTTTGTCCATCATCCGTCTCTAAGCACAGCATCACCCCTCTGAAAAACACTAAGCACTTATTGGTCTCAGCCTACATGGATCAGAGGGTGCCCGGCTTTGATGTACGGATCATTGGGATGTTTCGGAGAGACTCTATACAGAGCCTGCACTGCTGTTTGTGCTGCTCTGGGGCCCTGGTTGAAACTACTCCTGCAAATGTTTTACAACACCCAGACAACTTTGGGTTTCCATTTGTTACCACGGATGTCATGTGCCAGATCCCTCAAAACTGCAATTCCACACATGTCACTCTTCTGACTCAGCCCAGATCTGAGAATGCATCCGATTACGCTTGGCTTCCTGTAAGAAACAGGAAAACCAAGAGAGAGGATCAAATGATGGACTTCACTGTCTGCATCTCCAATCTGTTTGGGGACTACAACAACGTGCTCCAGTTTGCACAGACCCTAGAGATGTACAGGTCAGTAAAGCTACACTTTTAACCAAAGGGGGAAAACCATGCATAGATAAAAATGTTTGTTTTCTTACTTTCAGGTCTTTCTTCTTTCACTGTTGCTGAGAATCAGGCTAAACAGTTATTAATGTGCCTGTTTATTCATTTTGACAAACAATCTATAAGAATGGGTTTATAGATGGCATTTGAATGATTCAGCAAATTCAACCAGTAACTGTTTCCTGCTTATATAGCATGCTTTAATGGCTTCTATCTTGGTCAGATAATGGAATGGTTCAGGGTTTTTTTCTCGGTAAGGAGCAAGGTCCATTCATGTGTTGATGGTTAAATACCTCCCAGCATTGTATTGCTGAAGAAGCTAATGCTGAAGCTCCAATGTGTTATAATGCTTGATCATGGATTCGTAGGGGGTTCTCTACCCCATTTCCGGAATTAATTATCTAAACCACCATATATGGCCACACCTAATGGCTGTACTTTGATGTAGAGGATATACATGTAGTAAATACCCTGGGCAAACTTCATTCACACAGTCTATGGACAGTCATACAAAAAAACAAGCCGGTAAGGTACCAAACAGGAAATATGTATGGTGTAGAGCGGATGTAGATCTGACCAATCAGATGCCTCCTGTCAGCAGCACTGGCTGCTGTCACCCACAATTTTGGAGTGCAACAGAGTGTATGTGGAAGGGGTGGGGCATATCTGCGTTATCTGTGACACACAGGCAGAAAACTGGTTTCTGAGTATAAACCAGCCGTTAGCCCTTCGATGTGGGACCCAACCTGGGTTTGAATCTGACCCGTGGTCCTTTGCCGTATATCTCTCTCGTACCCCCCTTCCTGTCAGCCCACTGTACAAAAAACAGGCCACTAGCTGTAAAAATCTAAAAAAAAAAAAAAAAGTAAAACTGCCTGGTCTAAAAGTTGTCCAAGCTGGATGGAAAATATAAACCTCACGAGAGCCACAAAAACATGTTAATTATGTAAAAATAATTTCCAGAAAGCTCTAATATGGTGTAGTGGTCTGCGCATTTTTTCAGGTCATCAGGAAAAAAAAGGTCTCAAACTAAGAAGTCTCAGATCCTCAGAGAAGAAATAGCTGTCTAAGTTCAAAAGGGCTGCATGCTTTGAACCTATACACCTTGTTTAAAAAGGAATGAACCAAGAAGGTCAGAAATTAGGAATCATGGGCGTGCTTATGTGGCGCAGTTGTTGGCGTGCATGACCCATGAACGGTGGCTTTAGTCCTCGACATGGCGTTCGGTTCAAAGATTGTTTTTCCAGTGGTAGTTTGCCGCATGTCTGTTCCTTCTCTCATACCCCATTTCCTCTCAGCCAACTGTAAAAAAAAAAAAAAGAAAAACGAGCCACAAGTGCTGTAAAAACTTTTTTTTTTTTTAAGAAAGAAATGAGAAGTCATAAATTTGGGTGGTCTCTAATGGGGACGAAAATAAAAAAGGTTGTCATCAAAACCATGCAACAGATGTACATAAAGGTAAAAAAAAAAAAAAAAAAAAAGTCCACATCCATAGTTCATTAATGATACATCCAGATGTTGTTCATACAGTTTTGAGGAGAACTTCAGTTTTTTGGGATATTAATTTTCTCCATTAATTGAAATTAAAATAAATTATTGTTTTTGCCTGTTGAACCTGTAAAGTTTGCAGCTAAGGCTAACCCTGTCATCTAATGCAACAACAGCAGATGCAAATGTATTGCTACTGCTGGTCATTACAGGCTTGGTCACATCTAAATGTGTGTTTTTATTGCAGAATGTTTGTGAATCATTAGAAGGAAGAACTGTGGTAAAAAAAAAAAAAAAAAAAACAGAGCTGTTTTGTTGAAACATAATCCAAAGTTTGGTAAATAAAGTAAATTGTTCTGTCTTTTTGTCCAAGGCTGATTGGAGTGAATCGAGTGGTGATCTATAACACCAGCTGTGGTCCAGAACTTGACCGTCTTCTGCATCATTACGTGCAGGAGGGCTTTTTAGAAGTAGTTCCCTGGCCAATCGACAAGCACATGAACCCGTCCCGAGGCTGGCTCTTTTCAGAACACGGTGGTGATATTCACTACTTTGGCCAGCTCACCACGCTCAATGAGTGTATTTACAGATCCATGGAGCGCTCCCGCTACGTCCTGCTAAATGATATAGATGAGATCATCATGCCGTATCAGGAGGATAACCTGAAGCCTCTAATGGAGAGGCTGCAAACTCAGCATAAGGATGTGAGTTATTCATGAATGCATTATTCATCTATTTCTATTTTCTATCAATATTTGTCTTTTTAAAATGTCTTTTACATGTTGTAGGTGGGAGTGTTCCTCATTGAAAACCACATCTTTCCTAAAAAGCACTTTGAACCGAGCGGGAAGTTTCACCTTGCTCGGTGGAACGGGGTGCCAGGAATTAATATTCTGGAGCACGTTTACAGAGAAACCCCCGACCGAACGATTTACCATCCGTACAAGATGATCGTTCGGCCAAGGTACGCTGAGAAATGGATTCATTGTTTGGTTTTATTTCAATTTAAATTCACATTTAAAAGTAATCTGCTAAGTTAAAGGTGTTTGTTTGGGTAAAGTGGTTTAGATTGTTAATATAATATATAATATCATATTTGCATTTTTAATTAGAACAGCAGTGGTTCATTTTATCATTGGTTTGAAAGTGAAAAGAAAAAATATACCATTCTGATACAGTGGTATCAATTGAAGAATACAGTAAATTCGGGTCCCACTTTTTTAGGTCTATGAGCTTGATTTGTAGAAATTACAAGAAAAGTCTCACTGACCTCAGCTCCCAAATCCAAAAACAAAAAAAACACACAGACTTCTTTAGGGAGCAGATACACAGAAAGTCCTTTTAATCTCTTCATAAATCCCTTGAAGACTTTTTTTTGTTTTTGCATTCAACTAAAGACAGCCCAAGTGATCCCAATAATACTTGAAGACTACAGTCAGAGAATCTGCCCTGGAACTGTCTGCAGGAGAAGATTAAATAATCCTGCAGACGGTAGGATTATTATCAAAGTGATAAGGTTAATCCTGGAGGCCTGGGTGGTATTTTAAAAACCTTATGGTATCTTAATCATCCACCCTCTTTTGTTTTAATTACAATCGATCCCTCATTTAGATATTTGAAGGCATAGTGGAGGATTTTTGTGAATTTTGAAACTTAAAAAAGAAAAAAAATGCAGATGCACAACCCTGTACCCGGTCCCGAGAGGGAACGCCTATGAAACACGTGTGAGAGCGTGCACTAGCCCATATCTCCTCGTCCGCGCTCATACAAGCTTACTTTCCTTAAGAAGTTTTGCAATTTTCCACAATGTCAGACTCGCCACCTGTAGGTGAAAATGAGGCTGGGCATGAAGGACGGCCTTACATAAACGTATCATCAGAATGATTGACAATTAGGAGGACCACTTATTTTGATGATCGACCCGGAAAAGAACATCCCCTTCTACACCTTTAAGGTGTCTTATACCAAGCTGACATCTTGCTGTTGTGAATCTGTGTTTCAGGATGGTGGAGCAGACATCGGTGCATTCGGTGCTCAGGTTTTTTGGACAGCAGTACAGCGTTCCACCAGACATTTGCCGGATCGTTCACGTCCGTGTAGCCCTGAGAAAATCCCTGAAACTTGAGGAGCTCAATGTGGACAAACGGTTGTGGGACTTTGAAGAAAAACTCATTCCCAAGGTGGACCAGGTGCTGAAGAAGTTGGGTTGGCTGTCTGGTAAAGAAAAATGAGTTTCTTGTTGTGGTGGGAAGGGAAAACCTGTCAACTATGACTTTGTTTTTCAGGTTAAAGCTGTGACTGTGTCCCCTTAGCAGGTGCATGTTTGGTATTTCTGTATTTCTTTTTTATTAATTTGAAGGGAAAACCTTTGCTGATTGAAAGTCAATGTGCATGAGTTAGTTTTATAAAAAAGATATATTTTGGTTCGTTCTAAAGTTTTGCACATAAACATGTTATTTATCAACTCCTGCCCATTTAATAGAGATCACTGATGGGTGCTTCTTCCACATACAGAATTTGTATTAGCTTAAAATTTTCTTTTTTTTAAGTATCTTGGTCAGTAATTATTTTTCAGGGTTACTTGTTTTATCAGCTGATTTAAGAATGTAAGGGTTATAGAATTAAATTTCTCTCTCACCTGAAAACATTGTCTTCCAGAAATGTTTTTTCAGGCTTTTTTTTTTTATTCACTTCCTCAGGAGATGTTTTTACTGTGGATTGTTGTGTACATTTTGCTGCTTTGCTGAACTTTGAATGTAAATGGAGGCTAATTGTAGACTTTTCTTTGCCCTAGTTACTTCCAAGTATCAAGGGACAGAACAGTCAGGTTTGTAAATGCTGCTGTTTACTGTAAACCGTCTGAGTCAGGGCTGTTTTTTCTTAGCATTTGCATAAGATTTGTTGGTTACACTCAGGAAATAATTGCCTCCACAGTTTGTGTTTGGGACAACTGGCTTTTTTTCTAGATTTTTTTGTATGTTACATAAATTGTTTTGGAGAAAAAGCACATAAATGGTTTGTAGGGAATTAAAGTTTTAGATTCAAAAGGAAATCATCCTTCTTTAAAAAAAACGGTTAAACGACTTCATACTTGGTTTGTTGTTTTATCCCTTCATGCACCTGTCTACTCTTTGCCTTTGTTTGATGGGTATTTGTTAAATATTATAAACCAGTCTGCAGTTTTAAGGTTTTTGCCACTATTGTTCTCAGTGACTACAAGTGGATTACCTTAATCTGTCCTCCTGGGTCTCAGCCAGTTATATGGTTTCTATTCTGGAAACCTTTCGTGTTTACTTGGTAAGGGAATGATATGGAGAAAATGTAAAGATTTGTAGTAAAATTAGAATTTTCCAGATCTTTGTTTGCCTTGTTTTCTTTTCAATCTACAAATCCCCATTTCCGTGCCTTGGTGTCCAACTGAATAGAAAACAGCATAATCAATGAGTCTGTATCCCTGGAGAGGTAAGAGTCAAAATCACTTTAGCCAGTTGGAAGTCATTTCTATGAACAGATTGAGGTGATGCTGCTTAGGTCTTGTCTATAAAACAAGTACAGTTTATTTAGTTTGTGTAACTAAATTGTGTGTAGAAAAGCTGCATCAAATTATACTAGTCTCAAATCTACGTAAATGTGTTTAAAGATGAATAATTTACCTTGACATGCAGTTTATCTAAAATCAATAGACAATAGAATGATAACGGCTAAAGATTGCTGAAAAACCAATAAAACAGAACTGAAAAAAACTGATACGGAAACAACTGACTACCTTCTTTCAAATAATTAGAGTGATGCCTTTGACACAAGCCCCGCCCAGTTCTGGTCCAACATTTCCTAACCTAGAGGATCAAAGGTTATTAGGGCAGTCATTACCATTTTAGTGCTTATACAGGTTGGCATTACAGAGTTATTTCTGACCGCACTGCAGCAGAAATCTGAATTTGAAAAAATACTGATTTTAAATCATCCTGATTTGCTTTCAGGATTCCTCAGTTAGTGAACACTTCTTAGTTGTCATAAGGATTCGTGCTTTTATAGGTCAGGTTTCCATCTCTCAGTAGAAAATTAAATGTTGGTCAAATCTTATCTCATTTAGGATTTCAAAGTAATTCCTCAAGCCTCTTTAGATTTTTGAAGCAGACTTCCCAACATCCATGATTAAACGTGCAAGACAGAACAGAATGTCGTCTACAATTATAAACAGTCATATGTTCATGATCCTTGACTTATTAGATAAATTATCAACTAAATATTACATTTTTTCTTACTTCTGCCAAAATTTATTTCAGCAGAAACTACGGATCAATTAAAGGTCTTCATCTTTAATTCTCCAAACAGAGAGCAAGAACATTCATGTATTAGCATCAAGTATTAAAGAAGCTTGCCTTAAATCAGCAAAGTTTAAATCCACACTGTCACTATGGAGCCCTGAAGGTTCACACATGCATTTAGAAGAATATTTTGGAAGTGGGCAGCTGTTATCCTTTCCTTTAAGTTATACAACTCTGAATTCTTTATTTTCTTATTGAAATGAGCCCTCAGCTGACTGTAAACCATTATTTTGTTACTCCCTTTTTTACTTGAACAAATTCTTGTTTTTTAGTATATTTAACTTAAGCCTTTGGATAAAACTGAATTATTTGTGTATTAATTCAATATAACTTAACTTAATGAACAACTAACAGTTTAAGGAAGTAGTTTGCAGATTTAGCTGGCCATGGAAGTGTCTGCTGCTGCATCATCATGAGTGCTAATAAATTGAATTGGGTCTGTTCAGTCTTGCTGTGTGGTATACCACGGTATGAAAAAAATGTTTGCCCCCTTCCTCATTTCCTGTTTTTTTGCATGTCTGTCACAGACAAGTGTTGCGGAACATTTAACCAATCTAAACAATAGTCAAGGACAACACAAGTAAACACAAAATGCAATTTGTAAATGAAGCTGTTTATTATTAAAGGAGAAGCTCCTATTTAAGTGATGTTTTGATTGAAAACAGGTGTTGCAATAATCAGGTCTAGGTGTAGCTACAGAAATCGAACTCAGGCGTTAAAAACCACAGTTATATATTTTAACGAGGGCGGCAATCACTTTTTCAGACAGGGCCATGATGGTTTGGATTTTTTTTCTCCTTTAATAATAAACAGCTTTATTTACAAATTGCATTTTGTGTTTACTTGTGTTGTCCTTGACTGTTCTTTAAAGTGGTTTGATGTTCCGAAACACTTAAGTGTGACAAACATGCAAAAATAACAGGAAACGAGGAAGGGTGCAAACATTTTTTTCACACCACGGTATACCACACAGCAAGACTGAACAGACCCAATTCAATTTAGTAGCACTCATTAAGATGCAGCAGCAGCCACTTCCATGGCCAGCTAAATCTGCAAACCACTTCCTTAAAACTGTTAGTTGTACATTAGGTTAAGTTAAATTGGTTTGATGTTCCAAAACGCTTAAGTGTGACAACCATGCAAAAAAACAGGAAATGAGGAAGGGGGCAAACACTTTTTCACACCACTGTATATGTCAATTATTTTCAGAATATCTGACATTATTTGATCAAATTAATATGTCAACTACTGGGTGTATTAGGATATGAATAGCATAACTGGTAGAAGAATAGGGATGCCGTAGTTTCTCTGTGTAAAGAACTGGTGGTTAAGAAACTGAACATAGAACTGAGTTTTTTCAAACTTAAAAGCTGTTTTGAGTTGGTGTAATTAGCTACTTGGATGAAAATGAAATAACTTCTGATCCTATGTGACTTCTTAATATTTTTGGGATAAAAGGATTTCTTTAAAACTATCAAGTCACTATTTTTAGAGATAAATGACACTGCATAGTTATTAATCTTAAAATTTATATGAGTTAAAAGATGGTTCTAAAGTTTAAGTAAAATGTTGACTAAATAAGTCATCCATGAAGGTTGCAAGAATTTATTTTGCCTAGAACAGTTGAGGGTTTTCACCTTCTTCTTCCTGACTTTCCTTTGCAGTGACGAGAATAGATTCTGGCACCAAGTCAGGTGCTATAAATGCATCCTCCCACCTCTAGGTTGTAAAGGTCAAAACTTGGCTCCCTAAAATTACTGGATCACAAACCAATCAAGCACCCTGTAACTAAATCTCAAAGACCTGACTTTAACACAGTTTGGAACTTCAAATAAGTACCCTTCCAGTGGTAAATCTAAAATTAGCACCCAAGTGATGCCACATTACTTGGGTAATTATTACTCAAAGTTTGCGGTTAAACTGGTTTTCTCATATCAAGCAATGTTTTATCTTCCCTTATCAACCTTTGCCCAATGTTTGCTTAGGTTGGGCCTTTCAGTCTTTTAGCTAAAATTATGTATTCCACCAACCTGCAATATAAATATCATTTCCTACAATTTATATTTTTTTTCACAATTTTATTCCAAATTATTTATGGCGTCTGATTTCCAGATGGCATTTCTGTTAAGGCCAAATAAACCCGAAACCAATGCTTAGACACATCTCATTAAGTTTTCCTGTTTTGGGGATATGATGTTCTGAAAAAAAAGAGACCCTTCCTTCTTACCCTTGCTGTTGTTCCTGCTCATTTCATACTGAAGACAAAGTGGAAGGTTATGTAGATATGATGGATCGAACCTTGAACTGTGTATCTGTGTCGAACAATGACCGCCACGGATGTTTCCAAAGTGTAAGGGAAACATTACAGATAAGGAATAAAACTTCAATAATTAGTCTTAAAAACATTTTCTGAACCAGAAAAATAAACATTTAACCCAAACAATTAGGGGACACTTTCAGACCTTCATATTGGTTTTCTTCTTTGTTCTATTAAAATACTGCATGTTTAATTTATTGCTAAGTTATATATATATATATATATATAAAATAATTTTTAAATAATTGGGGAATTGTGTTTCTTTTTTTAACTTATGGCTTTAGTATTGCCTAGCTGTTGATTTTGACCCCAAGTGCAAAATGTTAAGACTGCAGCTCTTTGAAGGTGTCTAGTAATTATTAAATGTTACTAAAGAACGCTCAGTGGGCTTCTGTTTTATTACATGTTTGATTTAAATTACCATTATCATACCTTACCTAAAGCAAAATTTAGTTAGCATAAAGATTCAAATTTATCTTTAGATTGTGATTCTTTTTAAAATTAGGCTGAAAGTTTACGTCAAACAGGCATCCAGCCGTCTAATAATTAACTCAATTACATAGACAATAGAATAAAACAACCAGTACACTATTTAGGTCTTTTTAGAAATAGTTTGTATCTTTTCCCATTTATGACCAAAACATTTGATAAGATTATAGTCTTTATTGTTTAGTTTTT